TTACTAGGTTTTATTCTGTGGTTTTTTGGATCAATTTCCAAGTAATCTTAGCTTTTAGGTGGAAGAGTTAGTTTTTTTGTCAAGAGAATGTTCTTATTTCACGAGTGATATAAAGCATGTTTGGAAATTGGTTATAAACAGTTAAAATTAGATAGAAACGAGTGGTGAATAAATAGATAACAATTGTGGGTCAACAAAATGTGTGAATAAAAAGTGGTTTGACCAATTATAAATAATTTATAAGCATTAGCCAAAATGGGCTTATATTTCCCTATAACAAAGAAGTTCTTCGGTCGGTAGAGGTTTCTGGTTTCCCCTATTATGATTCTTTCTAGTATACAGAAATATAGCACCCACTCCCTCCCTCCCCCAAACATCTGCCAGGCTGCAACGACATATTCCATGGACTGACAAGCAATAGGCGCCACCACGAATGGCTCCGTCGAGTGTCAAGTAATAGTTCGTAAATGTAATTACAAAGAGGTCAACAAGTGGACTTTGGAAAGTTAATATTTAAGAAAACTAATATATTTGTTTGAATTTGGTAATCCCAATGTGGCTATCTGTTAATATTACTATAATTATTGGAAAACTGTAGTTTGTTTTTCTATACGTAATGGTTGCTTTTTAGTTCAAGAAAATGCTGACGGAAGATCTGCATGACAGGGATCTCTCATACAACTTTTTCAATGGATCTATTCCTGAAAGCATTGGGCGGCTAACCTCATTGAAGAGACTGTAAGATTTCGATAATTGATTTCCTATTAAATGGAAATACAGTTCAGACGACTCTAGTATGATTTTATTGTACAGGTATCTGAATAGCAACTCCCTTTCTGGAAAAGTCCCAGCTGCACTTGGAGGAAGGCTCTTGCACGGAGCTAGCTTTAAGTATGTTCTTGACTTGCCAGTTTTCTATCACCGCAAAATTCTTATAGATGTTGAACTCTTTTTTATTGTTCTATCTTATAATTCTTACAATGGATGTTTGCAGTTTTACAGATAATAAAGGTCTTTGTGGAATACCTGGATTACCGACATGCGGACCCCATCTTTCTGCTGGTGTTAAAATTGGCATTGGGTTAGGTGGGTGTGTGGCGTTCCTACTCCTTGTCACATGTTTAATGTGTTGGTGGAAAAGGCGGCAAAATATTCTCCGTGCTCAAAGAATTGCGGGTAAGCATATTTAAATTTGGGAAAATTTCATTGTTGGTCCCAACCTATATGCCTCGCTTCAAATTTTCGCCCCCAGTCCAAGTTAGGAAACGAAATCTAGTTCATAGAGTTCGACATATGAGGGTGATATGATGATTTAACAAAAATATGGATATAATGCATTGGCTCCAGATAAGAGAGTGGTCTTTTGACTTAGTTTCTTATTGTTTTTCTCAGCGAGAGACGCCCCTTATGCAAAAGCAAGAACGCATTTTTCTCGTGATGTACAGATGGCTAGACACCACAGCCATGAGCATGCTCGAACAGCAGACGAGAACGGGCCTAGCTTACTTTCATGATTGAAACACAAGCCAAAATTCCAATATTTTGTGGCCATACTTGTGCGCATCAAGAAGCCATCCCATAACATGACATTTCAAATGGTTTTAGCTTCACAAGTTCTATAGTGTACCTAGTCATTTAAATAACACCTCTAGTTTGGTACAACGAGGAGTAGTACTGATGTAACTCACAGAAATTGAGATCGTTATGTATCCGTCTAATGTACAAGTTTATGTATTCATTCATCATGTGAGTGTATCGTCTGGATGTATGTATCTCACGCTGGTCTTCGTATGTGATGCAATTGGTAATTTTGATTTTATTTAGTCATTCATACGAATTGTCTCATTCAGTGCATCTAAGCTTTGTACAAATGTAATAACTTATATTTAGTACTCCTCTCCGAGTTTCAATTTTATAGATTCGTCTGTACCTTAGACATGTGAAAATGAAGCTATCTTGTTGAAAATAATATTTGAATGATACACGTCTACATGCACCAACACTTAACCCTACACCATCTTTATCACTTTGGCCAAAAAGTAATTTATGCTTTTATTTTCAAGATTGGTTTTACTAATAAATCTTACTTTTTAAGAAAGTAAATTTTAATTTACCTTTTTTTTTTAATTAAATTTTACGAACAACGTAAGTACATTTCTTTTTTACGAGGCAACATGCAAGAACGTTTATTTGGTTGCAATGTATTTAGCAGATGTATGCGTAAAAGAGTTTTACTGCAATTAATTTGACTCGTGACAAGAAAAAATATAAGAATTATAATCTTATCTCTTGGTAGAAAACCTATCTTCGAATCTTGATTGTATGAGTTTTAAGTGTTGAAAATGAAGCAAAGTCATGATTCCATCAACAAATATATTTGAATGCTTGAATCATAAAGTTGATTTTTTTCTTACCAATTATATCAAATACTGGAATTTTAATGCTGATTTTATCCCAATTTAACATTGTATTCTTAAATGCTTGAACTAAAGAGTAGATTTTATCCCTAGCAAATATATTAAATACTTGATTATAATGCTGATTTTATCCCACAGTAAAAGTTTATACTTAAATAAAAATGCTTGAATTATAAAATAGATTTTATCCCAAGTTAAAAACTTTCATGATCCCTTCTTATTGATTGGTGACAAAATTTTAATCATATTTAACATAATTTTATGATATTAACAATTTGGAATACATTAAATTTACTAATACAATTAATGTACTCTAAATCAATGGTCTATTATATAATTATTCCATATCCTTTTTAGTTATTTTAATTTAAGATACACAAGGACATTCATAGTAAAGCGTATTTAATATTTATAAGTATGATTATTAAATCGCATCAAAGATTGAGTGTCAAATAGATATATTTATGGTACTAGTATATAGAAACAATGCTCTTATGGCATTTTGAAAAAATGGCCGGATAGTATAGTGTAAAGTTAACTAATTACATTTTATACGCAATGGTCATACTTCTCGTCACCAGTAATATTTGTCTAGTTCATAATCTTTTTTGGGTTTACTATTTGAACGAAATTTCTTGAATTTATTACATCACCCCAAATTGGATTAGGCACAACTTTTTCTTTACTCATCATTTAATCCCCAGATCCTGCTTTTTAATTAGAGATTAACGATCAATCAAGTTCTCAAAATCTCTCATACACATTTTGTTACATTTTCGTCGAGAGCTCAACGATGGTTTGGCTTTCTCTATTTGAGTTTGTAGTAATTTTGGAGGATTGTATTTGAAAATTATTTCAAAAACTAAATTAAAAGAGACTAAGCAAACATAAGATTTAAGAAACTAAAAGTTATATAACTTGAAAACACAAAACAAAAAACAACATTTTCTTGCAAACAAAAGTAACACACCATATTACTAGATAGAGAATTTAAATTCAGATGGCCGTTGGCGACCGGCATCAATCATCCTCCGGTGGTTCCTCGTTCAGATCAAAATCCATTTCTTCGTCCGATGATGATGTAGGATGCCATTGCATAGTCCCTGCCCGGATCTTTGTGCGGATGAATTCGGCGATCTCTTCCTTAGCTTCATCGGAAAGATAAAGACCTAGTGGTGGCGGTTCAGGCTCTGATTCCGGAGTGCTGGGACGACGGCGGTAGTTCCGGGGAACCCTCGCTCGCTGACCCTGATTGGGAGCCACAGGGAGGCGACGCTGAGGCGGATTTTGGATGTGAGACCTCATCGGCTGGCCTAGAGAAGGAGCTGATGTCAAGCGGCGCTGTGGATAATATTTCTCAATGGGAAAGCTTCTAGGAGGAGCCAGAGTCAAGTCAAAAGGACTGGATTCCACCGCCGGACTGGATTCTACCGCCTTAGGCACGACGGTGATGGCATTTCGATTCGACGACTCAATGGTGCTGCTCTGGCTAGAGCTCCTAGAACCACCGCTCCCATGCATAATACATGTACAGCCATTTAAGTTCATCTTCACATTAGGGAAATTCATCTTCGCCTTAGCTCCATGGTACCTCCAAGCGGCGGCATCATAGGCTCTGGCGGCTTCCTCCGCCGTGTTATAAGTTCCAAGCCATCTCCGGCCCTTGCCTGCAGGTTCCCTAATCTCTGCGGAAAATTTCCCCCATGGCCTCTTCCTTACACCACGGAAATGCACCCCATTTGAAACCCCACAGCCACTCATCTTCCCCACTCTCTTCACCGGCGTCATTATATATCTCTATATCCCTCCCTGTGTTTTGTAAGAGAATTAGGGTATGGCTAGACGAAGGGGAAAGGTGTTTATATAGGCGCGCCAGGAGGGGCGGAGTGGGCGTGCGGGTGACAGAGTAGGGAGTGTGTTTAAGTGGGACCCACGAGAGTACGTGGCAGGTGGCGGCGTTGTTCTTAGGACACGTCGAAATTAGGGATTAACGTTGTAATAACATGCATGGCAAATAGTCTGGACGTGTACAACCAAGAGGTGCTTCTTGTTTTTTTCTTAAATTTATTTAAGGTTACTCTGGAATTTCATTTTTTTTAAACCAAAAAAAAAAGAAAAGAAGGAAAATTAAACCTATTAGGATACTTTTTGCTATTGAATTTTATGAAAACATTTAAATCTTGGTCTATTTGGTACACTTAATAGATATATATATTACAAGATAAATGAAATAGAGATATGAATACATAACTTAAGAATTAAAGATATTAACCGACATAACAGTTTATACCGTTTTATCAAATAAATTGAATGTCCGTGATTATTGGATTGTTCGGTGTGTCGGAATATAAGAGTAAACAACAATAGATATCTTACTAAGCATTAATTAAAGAAAGATTTGACAGTACAACCCGACAAGTTACATCTTTTAACAAAGAAGTTGAATATCCGAACTTGTCAACTAGCTTAAAATTATTATAATACGACAATAAAATGATCAAGGTGTGGTCAGTTAATGTACGATCACACGATCCAGTGATTTTAGAGTTACAAAAATTGAATGTCCGACATTCTTGTATAGTATATGTAACGACAAGATTGTTAATTCATGGCAAAAATTTTAAAATTAATAGTAATCGTTGTAAGATTATCAACTTATAAATAAATTGTATGATAAAAAATATTTAGCTGACATAAAATTCATAATGTCGGTTGTCCACGAATACAAATAGATGTTGATAAACTTTGAGGATGAAATAAAGAGGTAGAGATCGATAAACTATTTTTCAACAAAATTAATTGTTCAATTACATACAATTTATAAATCGTTTTATAAATTAAGTCAAATCAAATATTAATTTCAATTAACATTTTCTTCAGTCACTTGACCTAACTAGTAAATGAAAAAATTGAAAACGAAATTCTTTGGATTTCTAATATTAAATTCTATCAAGTAGGAAAGAATTTAAAAAAAAGGAAAAAAATAAAAGAGAAAATGAACTGAGAAAATGAACTAAGGGGCTGTTTGATAAGCCCCTTTTCCATGGAAAATGAAAATTGAATTTTTATTTATTTATTTTGCAATGAAAACAAATTTTATCCCTGTAAAAAAAATATTTTCCTCTAATTGACAATTTTCATGTAAAACAAAGTCAAACGAACACCAAAAAATAGATGATTTTTTTTTTTGGCAAATGAAACAAATTTTATCTCCAATACCAGTAAATTTTATCCCTTTAATGGAAATTTTTTTATGTAAAACAAAATCAAACGAACACAAAAAAACACTTTTATTTCAATATTTTTCATGTGGAAAATTATACCAATCAATCACAATAATTGACAAATCTCAGTAAATCAATTTTTAAGTAATTCAGTTTCCTGAAATTCGTTTTCTTTCCACTCAAATTTTTTCTTTGCAATCAAACGGAAGAGAAACGGAATATTCTCTCTTCGGAATAAGCACCTCCTTCAAGAGTAGGGTCCACAGTGAACTGGGTGACATGTTCGGGTTGACCCATTTTTTCACCGTTTCAGCAGGATCCGGCGATATAGAGAGAGAAAGTGAAAGTGAAAGTGAATCGCTGAAGCGGTGAGTCAACCTAGGATGAACATTTTTACACGTTTTTACAAGTACGAAAATTCAGTGGAGGAAACCTTATTTATATTTTTGTTTCATATTAATCAACTATATTTAATTTATTTCAATTTAGCCACTCAACTTAAATTGACAACTATAATGCTCAAGCGATCGGCTTGGGGGGTTAAAAAAAAAGAATAAAGTTTCATTAATTAGAAGACGTACACTGACAGGATGGTCTACATATTATGACTGACACTTTCTTAATCGAAAAATGCAAATACTAAAGTTTGCACGGAAATGAAGAGAAAAATGACCATTCTCAATCTTTGGTGTACAACTTTTTTATTTAAATTTGAGCTTTTGATTTATAATTTACCAAGAGAAATCTTAATCGAGCTTAAATTTTTTCACTTCCTAATACTTGGTGCTAATAAACACTAAACTTATTTTCTATTTTAAATGAACATTATTATACGACGACAAATCACATGTACATAAACAATGGACCAATTCGGTTAATGAGTTTACAAATTCTATTAACCAAGTCTCTAATTATGTCCGTCACATCTCAAATTCAATTATTTTTGTTAAATATGGTAAACGGGTAGTCAAATTAAAATAAAAATATAAGTTGGGCTACTAAATTAATAAAAGAAGTAAGTTGAGGTGATTAAATTGCAAAAATAAAAAAATTATAATACACGTGGCACAGACCATCACTCCTCGGCCAAGGGTCTGAAACACAAGCGGGAATTGCAGTATCAGTTTACTGGTTCGTTACGCATCCCCACGCTCCGTTGAATATTGAACTCTGTGCTTCAGGAATTGTACTTTCCCGTATTTTCGGGGAGTAATGGATTTATTGACGGGTGATGCTACATATACAATTTTTTT